AGAAAAAAAAAAATTTGAAAAAATTTTGGCCCACCCTATACATATTTCGAGTAAATAAAAGTCGAAATAAGGACAGAAGGCAATCGAAAGGCGAAATCAAAGAGACATTAATGAATCATGTCCTTTTCGCGTCGATTAAATGTATCTCGAATATCAAGAGTCAACCGGAAGTGATTATCGGAGCATGCCGAAGTAAAGGCAGCGTGCGCTGGTGCAGTCGCGCTGACAAACGGTCTGCACGATCGTCGAATCTTAAATGTAATTAACCCTTTGCGTTCCAATATCGAGTTACACTCGATTCGAAAGGGAAAGTCAATTGTGGCCAGCTGCACTGTAAATTTGAACTTTCAATTTCGACTCTTCGAACTGACGATTGATAAATACAAATTGTAACGAATGGGAATTATATTGTATATTATAAATAGAATATAACATGTAGGAATATACAGAAATTATATAATATTTGAAAACATTATGTATATATGTGTAATTATTTGCTATATTATTTATTACGTTATATTTCGTACATTATTTGTTACATACGAAATGTTATATGACAGAGGAATTATATAATAAAAATGCAAATTTGAACTTTCAACTTCCATTCTTCGAACTGAATTTGAAGATTGACAAATTGTATTCATAGTAAAAATGCAAATTATATTGATATGATGAATTTGCGAATTTTAATAATATTATAAGTGCAATTATACAGATCAGACTTTACACCTGAGACGGGTGTAACGTGTTGTAATAAATAATGTTTGCCGAAGACCGAGATGAAAATTGCACTTAGGCTTAAAGGTTTAATTACGAGCGAGACGGACTTCCGAGCGAAAACGACGAAAAATTTGCGCGGCGCCGACGTTCAAAATACGGCAGCAGTTCGAGATGATATCGAGAAACTATGCAATTGGATAGGAAACGATTGATACGAAAGCTTTCAAAGTACGTACGTATGTATGTATACGAGGGAGAAAGAAATTACATAGAAAAGACAGAGAAAAGTGTATCAACTCACCGAACTTGCCTCTCCCAAGCAGAGCGTTCGGTACGCAGCGGGCCCGTAGCACCACGCTGTCCAATCAGCATGGCGAGATGTGTCAAAAACACGCATCGACGAGTCGTCTTCTTTCTTGACGTTTAAACACGCGCGACACTCAACAAGCGTCTTTTCCCCCGTTCGAAACGGAAAGATAAGAGAGCGACAATTCCGTAACATCTCGTTTCGTGTACACGCATCCGCGACAACAGCAGCATCATTCACACACCTGGCACGACACGCACGCACGCACACACACATGCACACACTTGCCGTAGGAAAACTGTACACACATCGCATCATACAAGCATACAATCGCAAAGCATACGTGACGTTACATGCATGTAGATCGGCAGGTTGTACAGGGACGAGCGTCGTGTACCCCATTTAAGGTGATGTGCGGTCGAGTTCGATTCGAGGGAGCGTGAAATGAAAAATACCGAGGTAACCTATCGCCTGCATTGGAACGATCGCTGGCGGCCCAGCTATGTACTTTGGCGGCCCGACCGTCAGCGAGAGGGACGATTCCCACGAAAACCAGGTTTCCTGACACAAACCGACCGATTCGACGGAGAAACCTGATACAACAGCGAAACGTCATTCCGCCGTACTAACCTATGCGTCGTACGTCAACCGGTTGTCGCGATTACTCAACGAGTTCAAAACATTTCCGCGATACTGACTCGTGCAGATATCACGACGGCTGCCATATTGAAATCTCATTCCGTCGGCCACCGACAACGCACTCGCGAAAGAGCGACGATCGTGCGAAATTTTGCTGAACGCGAGTGGCTTTCGAGTTCCTCTTTACCGACTGTGCCAACAGCGACGCCGACGGCAGGAGAACAAGATTGGCGGCAAAAATGAAAGGAGAAACGAAACTGAAACAGATTCACGGACAGACTCGTTGGAAAAACGTTCGACGAGATTGTTCAGTGTGCGTAAGAGATAAGATTGTATTTCGTTAATTATCACAGCATTATTAATTGAAAGGAGAATACGTTCATGATTTGATCGATAGCCGCGACCTCTTAAAGCAAATAATACTTAAGGTGTTTCGTTACGCAGTCAGTGACGCATTTATGAATTACGTATGAAGCTTAAACATGCGCTTGTAATTAATGTAATTTTAATAGACTTACGTAATTAATAAAATCATTGTTTTCACTGGTTTCCTAATGTGATGTTACAACTTTGATGAATACGTAAAGGGCTAGCTACGATCAAGTAATTGTCAACATAGTTTCATGCGATTGTTTGGACTTTTAGTATTGAGGTAATTAGTATTGTTTTACATATTCAATAAAGTAATAGAATAAATTTAATATGAAGTTGATACACGTGAATGTAGTTTGTTGTTTCATCACATTATCACAAGATTAATATCTGTTGTATTTTCTTTTATCTTTCTCTCGTAATATCAGTGAATAAAATTTATTTTTTATAAATTAAAATATTCGGAATATTAATTTTTGATTTATTTCCAGTACTATTCCTGTATCATTAAAAATCATTAATAATCAGTAAAGCAACTTCCCTATTTGCATTAATCCAAAACTTACAAAACTTGTTTCTTTCTATGTTCCTATTTAAACTATGTCCATTCAGTCGATTTTTCTCGCGGTTTTTACTTGAAGTTTGAAGATGGGAGTCGACGGTGCTATTCAAGAATCTATGGATGTAGAAATTTTGCCATCAACGAGTGGCTACAACGCAAAAAACAAGGAGAAGACTGGGAAATCGGACAATCTGCCATGGTACGTTATTATAGTTAACAAACATTTGCATTCGTCGTAATTAAGGATTTTTGAGGTTATGTTTCTAAGCCATAACGTAACATAACAATAAAGACAATTCTCTGTTTAGGATTGAAAAATATCGACCACAAGTATTTTCCGACATTGTTGGCAATGAAGATACAGTATCCAGATTATCAGTGTTTGCCCAACACGGCAACTGTCCTAATATTATCATTGCTGGCCCACCAGGTGTTGGTAAAACTACAACTATATTATGCTTAGCACGCATTTTATTGGGACCAGCGTTTAAAGAAGCAGTATTGGAATTAAACGCGTCAAACGATAGAGGAATAGATGTGGTCAGAAATAAGATTAAAATGTTTGCTCAAAAGAGGGTAAATATCTCTAGTGATTATCATCTCCTTTGTAAAGTTTTTCCCAACGATCTGTTTTGTTTTTATTTAGGTAAACTTGCCGAAAGGGAAGCACAAAATAATAATTCTCGATGAAGCTGATAGCATGACTGAAGGTGCGCAACAAGCACTACGTAGAACAATGGAAATATACAGTCATACAACTAGATTTGCATTAGCTTGTAATTCAAGCGAAAAGATTATCGAGCCAATACAGTCACGTTGTGCCATGTTAAGATATGGAAAATTGTCAGACGCACAAGTTTTAGCAAAGATTATTGAAATTTGTAGGATAGAAGATGTATGATCAACTTTTAAAAAATGTTTACATTTTTGTTTGAATAAGAATATAATATTATGTATGTAATAAACAGGTTTCACATACAGACGATGGTCTAGAGGCAATAGTGTTTACTGCACAAGGTGATATGAGACAGGCTCTAAATAATTTACAATCAACTTATAATGGTTTTGGTCATGTAAATAATGTGAATGTTTTTAAAGTTTGTGATGAACCGCATCCATTACTTGTTAAAGAGATGCTTGAGTTATGTACACAGGGTAACATTTCCAAAGCATATGGGGTAAGATATTTTGCTATTTTCAACTGTTTAATATAACACAATAAATGTAAAACGTTCTTTCATATATATTTGCAGATAATGAAACATTTATGGAAAATGGGATACTCTGCAGAAGATTTAATCAGTAATATATTCAGAGTTTGTAAGAATCTACCTATCGAAGAAACGTTAAAATTAGATTTTGTAAAAGTAAGTCGGAGTATACATTCTCAAAATAGGAGTAAGGAAGTCATGCATGTATGTAAACATACTAATTTGGAACTATCATTTTAGGAAATTGGAATAACTCATCTAGGAATAGTGGATGGAATTAATAGTTTACTACAAATGAATAGTCTTCTTGCCAGACTTTGTCTAAGATCTATGCAGAGTTAAGAATGAAATGTCTACTAATTATTTAAGAGAATAAAACTATTTATATATTTGTATTACATACCTTTTCTTATTTTTCCGGAAAAATTTATACTTCGACTAGCAATTGAAAAAGATTGGATTTGATGTCCTTTACATAATAGTATATGTATATGGTCCAAAGTTTTCTAATCGCATAAAAATAAAAGAAAAGTTCATGCTATTAGTACTAACATTTACAACAATACGTTAAATTAGAAAATATAAGTGTACGATTCGTGTACTTTGTACGAAATATTTCTCTCACATTTAAGGCGAAATTATTCATATTTAATTGATTAACTTGAACGTCTATATTCCATAGTATATGAGATGAATGTGTACAATGAAACATTTTGCACTGCATTTACATTGTCAGTCGATACAGTCAAACAGATATAAAAAAAAAAAAAAACGTTATACGAGTAAATTCAAAATAATTCAGTCTTCTTAGAGTGTACGTAAGAAGCTTAAAAATATTATTTTGTATTTACAAGAGTACCGTCGTAAAAATCCTTCGAAATTTTCCAATTTTTCTTATCGCAACAGAGATTTCTGAAATATTTATGTTACATTTGGAAAATGTATAATATCCAGCGTGTGTTGATATTTCAAATATCATTCGTATTGTACCGATGCTTTCTTCTTTTTTCCCTATTCAACACCATTTTTCCATCGTAACAGGTGCCAAATGAGGTCGTGGCTTAGGGGAAGGCCACCGTAACGCGCTCTGACAAGATTCCGCTCTGGAAGGTGTTCTCGGCGGAGGCTGAGGCGGATTAGAATGCGATTCTTGCATATAGTTATTCGTCTCTCCGTTGGTTTCCGTTCGTGTGCTTCTCTCCGGTGGATCACCTTTGTGATTTCTCTTCATCGGTTTTTTCGCTACGTCGTGATGCGCAGCTGGCGGTGCACTCTCTACGGACTGAAGGCTAGCTGCTCGATGCAACGATAATCGTAGCGGCTTTTTCGGTGGCGCTGGACGAGATTTCGATTCCTGAGAACTGTAGACAGCTGATATATCTGAATTTTCTGACGCACGCGACTGGCTCTCCTGAAACAAACGAAGAATTGTAAAATCTAACTTGTCTGATCAATGTCGATTGAATGTTAATGTCAATTCGATTAAATTTAAATTGTGTTTTTATAATTATAATTCAAAACTGATTACTTGTAGCCGGTAGTAAGTTGGCTCGGAATCGAAATCCAACGGCTGTACTTGAGATGAGCTTTTACGGCTTTTAGATAAATGTTCCATGGCCAAGTCAACGCGCGGCGGTCTTCTACGTTGCAGTTGCGGCTGCACTTGCGTCTGCTTGCAGTCCAAGCTCGCAGTTGATCTAGTTAATGGAAACCCTTGATGTTTCTGCTTACTTCGTGATTTGTGATGACCATTCGAAATGCTAGCGGATGACGAGTCGAATTCGTTCGAGATTTTTACGTCCAGCGAACGCTTCGAATGATCGCTGTGTCTGCTCCTCACTGTAGGTAAACTCTGCCGTAATTCCATCGAGTTTCTCACATTAAGGCCAGGAAGATTTGCAACTAGCGCGGTTACTTGTGGCCCTTTTTGAAAAACCTAGGCGGAAAGAAAATACCTCTACTGGCATTGGAATCATCTTTATGTATCTAGAACGTCTATCTATACTTTTGACACATATATCGTATCCATCGAAGTGTCTGGATACTTTTACTGGAGCTTCCATTTAAATCCTGTATCCAAATGTTGCACTACAATGAACCTCTAACACAGACAGACTGTTGTATAGAATAATGAATTTCTTTATACAATATACTTTCACCTGGAGGAGGAGAACAACCTATTGTCATCGCGTCTTGCCGTGTACCTGAACTTGTTCTTGACGGGATGGCGGAGGGTCTGCTGGGACTTCGGCTCGGCTTGGTGCAAGAAGATCCCTAACCTGTTCCTCGAGATATCCAATCCTGTGAGTCAGCCGGAGGTTATCAGATCGGAGAGTGCGGAGTGCTGCCAGGGATTCACCTTTCCGAAGGACCACGATTTGTGCGGCATCGGGTGCAACGGCCAACAGCCTTGCTAAATCGCTTCTGCCTGCTCCCACCACGAGCTTTCCATTCACCTCCAAGATTCTGAGGACAATGTTGGCTGATAAGTAGCCACCCCGCGAGCTTTACCAGCCTGATCGCACTTAATTAGGTGAAATTATTCAGCCGACAAAGGAACGGTTGATTTATTGCGTCGAGGGTTAGCGGAAGGAACAATTTGCTCACCACGAGAGAACTCGTATAAATTTCGCGCGCGCGATGTCGTAATAGATTTAAGAGTTTTATAAATATCTGTACTCTTTTTTTTTCGGGCTGAATTTTTCCTGTTCTGAATTGTGAGAAACAATGGTTCTTACGGGTTGTCAATGACATTATGTAAATTATGTTGACAAGAGATATTAAAAGGAGAATTTTGAATATTTATATAATTCTTCGAGTTTGTGTGTTCAACAAATTGCGCTGAAAAGCCTGCGTGAAGAAAAGAAAAAAAAAAAA